TCTTTTTCTTCCTCCTAGGGTCCCATGCGTGTGCCTCCATCGTTTGTAAGATTGTTTTGCCTGATCGTAACATTATGCCCACAGATAATAATTAAACCATAACAACTTGTTGTTTTCCCCCTTCAGAAAGAGGAAGGTCTTTTGTATATGGATTCGCACAGCCAGCTCAGGAATGAGGTTCGGAAGTAATATCAACTATTAGACTACTCTCATAAAGTCATGGATACCGGGCATTAGGGTGACATTTCTGGGTGATCCTAAAACACACTCAAGCGCCAATATCCCAACCTTTTTTTTTCTGGAGTTGTGAATTTCAGAGTTGGTCGATCCTCTAATCAGAAGTAGGTATTTTACCCTCTTGCTGTATTTGGTTGATAGAATAAGCTAGTGATGGACCTGCCCATGCTGGACCAGGGTGCAGAGATCTTCAAGACCCTCCACTACCTCACTAATCTGATCCAGAGCCTGAAGAACCCACTGGGCACCAGGGAGAATCCTGCCCGCATCTGCAGGGACCTGCTCAGCTGTGAACAAAAGCTAAACGATGGTATGCAAAGTTGTTAAGATGGTACAATTCAAACATGTTTTAATTTAAACTTATAAAACAAATTTAAAATGATCAAACCAAAATTTTAAAGTGATTCTCAGCACTTGTCCTCAATCTTTTGTCACAAAAGGGTCGTATAACATCACTGAGGAATTGAAAAGAATGAAAAGTTGTATGTGGCTAACCGCGATTGTTTATTTTTTGTGATTTCTCAAAATGAATGCCAGTTAGGTGCTGACTGCTAGTTAGCTAGCCACAGAAAGCTAGTGACTAGCTCAAGTTATCTGTCATTTTTGTACGTTTCATAAAACACATGCAAATTATGAGCTAATTACTAATTACAGTCCAGCAAAAGTCTACTAGCTTAAAGCTAATATATAATGCGGCATTAGCATAGCTGTTACTGTAATTATAACCCCTCAAACAATTGCTACAGCAAGGATTTAAACCAGGAGCCTTCTTGTTGCGAGGCTCCCGTGCTAACAATTCAACCTCTGTTCTAATGTTAACCCATCGCTTTGTCATGATTTCAGGCATTTATTGGATTGACCCTAACCTCGGCTGCATGTCCGACACAATCGAAGTCTCCTGCAACTTCACGGGCGGCGGGCAGACTTGTCTGAAACCAATAACTGTATCCAAGGTATCCAAAAACATGCTGACACATATGGCAATCAAGTGTACAGAATTACGTGGCACTATTGTACAGATGTTGTGTGTTTCTTTGCAGCCAGCAGTCAACGTCGGCCGCGTCCAGATGAACTTCCTCCACCTGCTGAGCACCGAGGCTGTCCAGCATGTCACCATCCACTGCTTGAACGTCTCTGTCTGGAGAGCTGCTCAGCATTTGCCGGCTTCCCGGGAATCCTCGGTGCGCTTCAAGGCGTGGACCGGCGAGATATTTGAGGCCGGAGGACAGTTGGAGCCTGATGTGGTTGAGGACTCTTGCTGGGTATGTCCTTGATCTCCTGGTCTTTGTCATTATCACTGTGTTTTGTTACTAGTTGAAATGACAACTTCAAAGACAAATAAATTATAGTCTAGATTGAGCCAGTGTGTTTGCTAATCCTGAAAGCAATTTTGAATCCTTGACGAACCCTGTATTGCTTACTGTGACGCTAGTTTCGTTAGCTTGTCTTCGTTATTTTTTTTATTTTTGCATACTGTGTAAGCATTGAACTAGTAGAGTTTTGTGAGTTATGGGTTTGGTTAAAAACACAATGTGTCATTCTTTTTGTTTTTGACTTACTGAAAGCAGTACAGCTCACGGAAATACTACAACGTGAAAAAGACTTTACTCTTGGGAGTAATAATAGAAAACAATTTCATGGCACAAATATTATAATTTCAGAATAGGATGCATCAGTGCGAAATGTGTTTTCTTAAAAAAGGATGAATGTGCTTATAGATGAAAGATGGCCGCTGGCACCAGGCCCGCTTCGTATTCCGCTCCATGGACCCGTCCCTGCTCCCTGTGATTGATGTGGTCCATCTTCCTGAGACCAGCCGTGGATCGCACTACCACCTGGAGATTGGTCCCGTGTGCTTCGTGTGACCCGGGAAGTGTCATGTTGGTGGAGTTTTCAGTGGTCACCCTGGTACCAGCCAAGTCCAGCCCAGCCTTCCCTCCAGCTTGTGCCAACCTTTTGTTGAGGGCGAGTAGAAAAGGAGCCGGGGGAGTTCTTGCACTAATATCTTCTCCATAGCTTCTTCCGGCTCCTCCGTGAAACAAACAAAGCAAAAAAAAAATAAATAAAAATGGGCCTGTATCATCTCTCTGGAACGTTTCAAAGTGGAGGGATGCCTCGTGGGCCCATCAATTGGACCGGATTATAATTAAATTTTATTTTTGTATACATTCTGTATACAACAAGAAAGGAAAATTCATTATGAAATACTACAAAGAAAATATAATAAAATAATGTACATATATGTATTCTTATGATTTCCCTTCATGTTTATCTCATCTTCAAGTGCAATAGAAAAGGAGAAGATAATATTACAGGTTAAATTGAAATGAGAGGGGCAGTGTGTTTTATTATATTTTATTTTGGTGCTCATCTCCTTCCAATATTACTCTTGTCTTTATTTTTTGTAGGGAGGTTTTTTTCTTGGCAGGGAGGGTTTTTTTTTTTTTTTCTGGCAGAAATCACATGTGTATTTATTGTTAGTGTGCACTCCAAAAGGGAGATTGTAAAACTCAGTGGTGTGAGAAAATACTTGTTATACATGCCACTGATGTGAATATCTGCAGCTTTAGTCATTGGGGTGGCGGGGTATATATAAAATATGAATACAAAAATTGAGGTTTTGTTTTCTTGTTGATTTTAATTTTTATTTTTTTAATGTTTTTGGGTGGGGGGGGTCACTTTGGGATCCTTGCATCCACACACATTTTTCTTCAATCGTAAATGAACAAAAGGTGCAAAACAATTATGCTGTAATTACACCTTTCTGCTCACACATTCTGTTGTGTTCATCGTGTAGGCTCGCTTGGATTAATTTCATATATATATATATATATATATATATAAAATAAAAAACACACACAGTGTGTATTGCCCTGGTTTCGATAATTGTAGTTTTCAAACAGTTATCCTGTTGGTTGTGAAAAGCTCTTAGGTGATACAACTTTGTGCAGTATCAAGCAAGTTTTATTTTTTAAATGTTATATAATTTCGTTGTACAAAGCACCCCATGCAGCAGCTGTATATGTAATAGTCATCAAAAAACATGTTTGTAGACCGTGGATCCCTCTCCCTGCTAATTTAATATTATTTAATTTGTGGACCAGCAAATATCTCTGTCGACTCTCCTCGAAGAATGAAAAAAAAAAAAGAAATATATATATATATATATATATATATTTTTTTTTTTCACACACACACACACACACATACATACTTTTTTTTCCTTATGTGTACATTTTGGGGCTCCAGAGAACAAATTTATTGCAAAATAAATGATAAATGTCTTTGTTTGTTTCTCTATGATAATCCACCATGTACTGTATCAGGTGCTATTCTATTTGTGTTTTTAAGGAAAAACAAAATGCAAAATATGTGAACTGTTACTTATGTCTTGTTGTTTTGGTTTGTTTATGTTTTCTAAGTGTGTTGTAGACATGAAATCAAGCTGAGGAAACCTGACATTTTGTGCATGACATCCAAGCAAAAGGTGAATAAGGTTTTCCGTTTGCCTTTGTGAATACAACCAGCCTGTTTTGGGAATATAATAACATTATTATGAAGTGAAACTATCTCACGCTGCAAACGTTATCGGTCTCTGCTCTCTACTTGGCGTTCCATTTGTTCAATAAAGACTTTCAATTTTCGTGTGGATGTTTATTTGAAGTTCTTACTCATTTATAACACTAAAACGTTATCTCATCTATACCCCCTGTTCAAAATGTAATAAAAAGGTAAATCCATCCATCCATTATCCAGGCCAGGGGTGTCAAATTCTGGTCCTGGAGGGCCGCTGTCCTGCATGTTTTCCAAATTTCCCTGTTGCAACACACCTGATTCAAATGATCAGATCATCAACAAGCTCTGCGCAAGCCTGACATTGAACCTGTTCATTTGAATCAGGTGTGTTGCAACAGGGAGACTTGGAAAACATGCAGGACAGCGGCCCTCCAGGACCGGAGTTTGACACCCCTGATCCAGGCCACTTATCTTCACAAGGGTTGTAGGCGTGCTGGAGTCTATACCAGCAATCTTTGGACAGTTGGTGGGGGTACACCATGCACTGGTCGTCAGCCAATTGGAGGGCATGCACAGACAAACAACCAGTCACACCTAGGGACAATTTAGAGTGTTCAATTAACCTACCATGTATGTTTTTGGAATGTGGGAGGAAACCGGAGTACCCGGAGAAAACCCACACAGGCCCAAGGAGAACATGCAAACTCCACACAGGAAGGCCGGAGCTTGGAAGTACAAAAAAATAGTTGGCCAAAGTTCGCTAGAAAATATGAAATGTATTTTGTCTTGATTATTTTATACATATCGTCACTGTCAGGTAGAAACCTCTTCTGTTAGAATTTGGTCGAGTTCATATTTTTTAACGCCTAACACTTGTTGCCCTTTTGTAATTCACAGTATCGACCCTTGAGGCCGCCATTGTTGACGGATTGACGTGGCTGCCTTTGAAGTCAGGCAACGTACGACGAACATTAAAATCAAAAGTTATATTTAGTAAAGCCCATCCCACTACAAGAAGAGCGCAAAATGCCACATGACTGATGCTACATACAGAGAAATTATTTTATTTGACAGCCATTTTTTTCAAACTGCCACAAACCGACCTGAAATGTTTGTTTTGGCCAATAGCACGTTGCCAGTATCCACCCAGTTACACGACGCATTCAACGACACTCGCAAAGTTGCAATATCCTCCATATGAACCCTCTACTAGCAATTGAATCAAGATAGATTCCACCAAAATAAATTATTTTTTTATAAATTATAACCAGCCCTGGCATTGAGTCATTGTAATTCTGCTTTGCCGCATTTAAAATCACTCTTGCTGTGGTGAACTCCGCTGCCTGGGACTATCTCTGACGCTCTCCGAAGACACCGCCGGCCTCCAACATGCACCAAGGTGACGTCAGTTCTAGCATGATGGCGGTAGCCTGGACTATTTTGAATCCCGTCCCGCTTTTCCAGCATTAAGAAGGCACATTTGAACACTGAAAATGCCACGACGCCGCTCGGAGAGCACCAACTAAACCACAAATACTACCATGGACTCGGTGGTGGGCGACGACCAGACTCTCCCCGTTGACTTGAACGGAAGGTAAAACAGCGAAAGAAAGGGGGGAAAAAGTCTTGAGCTTAGCCGGCTAACAATTAGCATGCCTGCGTGGCTACCTAAAGCGAACATAGAATAATACAAGTTGCTTCGGCTCCGTCTACGAACTGGATACATACTGAAATTTATCTTGCATTTCGGTGTATCGAGCCGTGTTTCGTGTGCCACGCATTGATAGCTACGCATAGCCCATTGCGTACTTTTCACAGGACTTTTTTTCCTCTGGGTACTTTACATGTAGCGCCCTTTTTAACTCAAGTTGGTGCGACTTATCGATAATAATGACACGTGTCCATCAGCCCGTTATTATGTGATTAATATGATGTATCACGGTCCGATCTACTAACGTCAATCATACAGGCCCGGTGCTGATTGGCTGGAACCATTTGTGCACGACTGCGGAAGTAAAGGGGGGGGGGGCAGAGTGAGATACATTAGATATGTACATTAGAATCCCCATTGCTCGCAGAATCGTACGTGGACGTCGCCCCATATTGTATGTGGTAACGTGGCTCTAGTCATTACCATTATCGGTAGAGAAATTTAATAAAAACTTCAAAATGATAAAAGAAAAACAGTGAAATTTAAATCTTAGTGCTCTTTATTCTCTCTCTCTCTCTCTCTTTCTCTTTCTTTCACTCTCTCACAGAGTAAAACAAGGCCAAACTGAAAGCAAATACAGTACAAATAAGGCCATCTGAAAGTCACCATCATTGACATTTTCTTTATTGAAACCAGTCACAAAAAAGTTTTTTTTTTGTTTTGATGAGTGGATTAGTGTGATTTCACTTGATTTCTATGTGGCAATTTGATCACATTGAGTCATCTTCTTGGTCAGGGAACAAGTTAAATGCAGAAGTCAAGGTACCACTTGGGTCAATTTATGCATCACATCAGCCACATCCAAGATGGCGGACACACAGCCATTTTTACAGCAAAGGGCCATCCCACTCAATGAGGCGTCTCCGCCTCCTCGCACAGTAACATCCACAGTGGTGCACTTACTTGTCATGTTGCTTGTTACCCTCCTGCTTACTCGCAGCGACATTGGGGAGAGCAAAGTGCGCCTTTCCGGTAGGTGAAAGAGCCTCATTTATCTCTGCTTTACTGCTACAACTACGGCTACTGCTGCTGTGCTCGTGTACTGTTAAGTTTGTAGCCCTATAGATCCTCCTGCTGCATGTATCTAGTCCAAGCATCCCTAACCTTGAGCTTAGGAGGGCATCCAGGTGGCAAGCGTGCCGTCAGAGTAATCCAAGATGTTAGCTGATCGGTGCGGTGTGAGTTACGACAAATTGTGCTGCCTAGTGAGTGACTGGCGGTGACTCGGATAAACTGGTCGGAAAGCGGATGAGTGGTTAGCAGAAAGGCGAAAAGAGGAAGTCGTTGTTGTACTGTTTCTTGTTTGGGTCTGGTAAATCCAGATGCTTCTTTCAAACTGTGTCACTAACAGTGCCTACTTAATACTTGTGCTCCTTAATATGGCAGCAAGCATAGTGATGATTGTTGTTTCGTATCTTGTTTTGTTGTTTTTCAAAATCTGTCACATGCACTAGCATGCTTCCTCTTCATCTGCACAGGAAATGTGTGATGACTTCTTTGAAGTCTTTACTGTGTGTTTTTTGTCAGACTTTCTGGAGCGTTTCCATGATGAGTTAAAATGGGGAATGATCAAACTGTTTTCCATGTAATTTATGGCAATTAACCGGGAATTGACGGTACCCGGTAATTTAATGGAAACGTATCATATCCAAGCATAAATGTAAACTGTTTATTTTGTCATAAGCAGACATCCATGCCAAATAATACAAATGAAAGTTGGAGGCTGAATAAAGTACACATGACTAATACTGTACATATTTTTAGCAGTAAAATAAGCACACTTAGCAGCACATATATTGCTGAAAGGTACAAAGTATCAGTAGTCAAAATATGAGGTTTTCATTCTTGATGTTTGAGGTATCGCAGTATTTTTCTAATACCGGCATACTATGCAACACTAACGTATGCGCGCAATGATTGTTTTGGATTTGCAGATGTAAAAAGAAGGGCTGCCCCTCGCATGCACTTTACTGGAGTTTAGCGGTCGCGACTCATTATTATTGTTGCAGTGTACAGAAGTACTCATGTCACAAATAGAGTAGAGTGCTTGGTGACCAATATTTAAAAAAAAAAAAAAAAAAAAAGGGGGTGAATTGTTTTCCAAGTGTTGTTGTGACAGTTGCTCAAAGCAGCCTCACATAGTTTTATTCGTTCACCAGGGGTCAGGTGTCAAGGGTCATGAACTAGAAAGCAACCACTTGAACCAAAACCAGGCTAACCAGGATTTTTTTTTTTTTTTTTTTTTTTTTGCTGAAGCTTACTTAAGCACATTGTGTTGTTGAGATTGTGCAGATGTGTCTCGCCAGAATTGTGTATTTTTGGGGCAGGGGTGAAGTGGCACCATCACATTGGTCTCACCACAGTGCTCTTCTTGTCCTAGCACCAAAGCAAAGTTTCCTGTGTTCTCTGTCCTGAATTTGAGAGCTCGGCTGCCACTGGCACATGCTGTGTCTGTCACACGCAGTGAGAGTGAACAAGCGAGAGCTGGGCCATGTAAATGAAGCAGAGAGTCGTTCTTGAGCTATTTCTGGAGAGTGTCCGTAGGGCTGTGTGCAAGCGGCTAGCGTGAGTAATGATTAAACACTGCTAGGTTTTCTTTAAAAAAAAAAACAAACAAAAACAACAAAAAAAAAAAGCACTGCTCTTCAGCGTGTACACAGCTGTGATGTCATGCAGCAACTCATGATTGGATGCCCTTTGATACAGCTCACCAAATGATTTTATATCCAGCTGCAGCCTCCCGGACTCGATCAATGCTGGTAGCCACTCCACCACGGGCGTCATGACAGGTATGGCAAAGCTTCCCTTTTTTTGTTTGTCGACGTTTCCCTTGTGTGTTCATTAACGCCACCGCTGTTGTTTGCCGTTTTCAAACATGAGCAAAGCGATCGGCCGCAAGAGTCTAATTAGGCGCTCCCCCTGATGATTCTTTCGTCTCATAACTTGCGAATGTGACAAGGATGCAAAGTACGACAGAGGCCGCCTTGACAATGAGAGGTTCAGTGCATATAAAAGGGTGCCCCAAAAGGTTTGGGTTTTTTTTTTCCATATAAAAAAATGTGAATTAATTTTACAAAAAAATCAAATTCATGTTAAAAAAAAACATAATGCCCAGACCTAATTCAGTTCTTGCAAAAGCCAAAATAATTGTTGAATCACAAATAAAATCAAACATCTCCAGCTAAGGTGTCCAATCGGTCAATGCCGATTTACCAGATTATCGCAAAGATTACGTTGTACATTGATTCATAATCGTTGTTGCAGACGAGCTTCAGATACGCTCAAGTTTATGAGAAAAAAAAACGAGAGCAATTGTCTTTGATATGGAGGGGCAAGTACCGTATCGGGTACAGTATGCGGCTGATAGCAGGCACTGATAATTACGGAGGAAAAAAAATGTGAGAGGGTCTTGTGAGTAATACTTTCTTATTGTCTCAACAGCACTGTCCTGTCCCGGGAAGATGTCCCCCATCAAAGCCCTCACCATGAAGGACTATGAAAATGTAAATGCTTTGCATCTGCAGTAATTGTTTCCCGAGAAGTCTCGTTCGTCCAGTTAGTTAGTTAGTTGGTTCGATTACACCAGGCATGTCCAGCTCCTGGCCTGCCTGTTTTCCATCTCTCTCGGCTGCAACACACCTGATTCAGATGATCAGGTCATCAGCCAGCATTAGAACATTCCTGATTATTTGAATCAGGTGTGTTGCTCCTGGGAGAGCTGGGAAACAGGCAGGACAGCGGCCCTTGAGGACCGACTTTGGACACCCCTGGATTACACAAAAACTGAACTTCACTAGTTAAGTCAGAATACACACACACACACACACGCGCGCACACACACACACACACACACACACACACACACACACCACGATACAAGATAGTTAGGTTCCACAAAACACTTGTATAGAAAATCTATGCCACACTTTTTAGCTCGCTAGCTAGTTCGCTTGTGCAAATTTATACTAGTTGGTTAGGTCATGCATACATTGAATATGTGATTTTTATTTTATTTTTTTGTTTAATCGATTTTGTAGTTTGATGGTTGGTTGGTTGGTTATACTAAGAGTTAATTGGCCAGCTATTTATTCAGTTAGCTACACTACATCAGCTAGCTAGTTTGCCCAGTTAGATAACATACAAAAACTGCACATCACTAGTTGGTCAGTCAGTCAGATTATACGAAAGATACATGACACAAATTAGTTAGTCGGGTCACACAAAACAACACTAGTACAGATCCACTTTAAAAAAATCTACACCATACTAGTTAGCAAACTAGCTAACTATCTTATCGTACAAAATTATACTAGTTACAAAAAAATAGGAAATTCGACTTTTGAACAATTTTGTGTCTTAAGTTAGTTGGGTAATTAGTTAGTTAGCTAGTCTCCATGTACAGATGCTTCCATTGACCGTTGTGTCCATTGTTGCCTCCACGTTCCATTGCATGATACTCCACCTGAACCACAGTAAACCATTTATGGACATTTTTTTAAAAAGAGGAGGGGGATGTATGAGGCATGCTGACCTTCAGACATGGCCTGAACTGCCTGGCTGATGGTTGCAGATTGAGATGTTTTATGGACTGGAAGGGAGCAGACTGCACCCCCATCCCACACAGCCCGCCCCACCTCCCATTTCCAGATGCATGCTGCTCAGAGCCCCGCAGCACAATGATGCACAGTTGGCCTGGCTTTCACATGCAAGCATGATGAAGGGCTTCATTCATTTGAACAACACAGACAAATACACAATTGTTCTACCCATGTGATTCACAGATTTTAGTCAACGTGATTAGTTTTACCTTTCTTTGCAAACTCGAGACGATTGCATTAGGGACAAAAACAACAGGAGTGGCTCGTAGTAATAAGGTGCTAATGTGTTTGTTTGCTTTTGTCCACAGCAAATCACCGCGCTGAAGAAGGAGAACTTCAACCTGAAACTGCGCATTTACTTCATGGAGGAGCGCATGCAGCAGAAATGCAACGACTCCACAGAGGACATATTCAAAACGGTAGCAAAACAAAATCTCAATACCGCATATCTTTGTGTTGTCACTGTATTTACTGTAAAACTGACACACAAAATACATACATTCAAACATTGTTTATTTAAACACCAATACGTTCAACCAAACCATGTAATAAGTCCAGTAGCTTAATGCTAAAGTGATGCAATACGCCATTGATGAGCTAATGGAAATTAGCATCGAAGTTATGGTAATTATTAACACAATGTTATTGTGTCAATGCCACCCATGTCCACACGAAATTAAATAGTTCAGTCTTTTGGGGTTGGCACAATAGACTGAATGTCTTCTCTTCACAGAATATTGAGTTGAAAGTGGAATTGGAGTCAATGAAGAGAGACATGGCAGAGAAGCAGGAGTTGCTCGTATCTGCGTCGTAAGAGCTCCATCCGCCGTCCAGGTTTGTAAACTTTGATACATAGTGATCAGCTAAGCCACATCTGTGAATGCTTTGGCAGCAAAGCGCTGGAGAGTCTGGCTGGTCGAGAGACTGGTGAGCCACAGCGCATCAGAGAGCAAGCGCAGCGTGACATGGATGCGCTCCGTGACTCGTTCAACAAGACGATTGCAGAACTGGAAGAAGTGAGTTTAACTATCGAGGCATTTGCAAAACATCATGACCGCCACCTGTACGACAGGAGTGGGAGAACGGTGGCACAAATGTTTTTGTTTTTCTTTCATGCATCAGTCCCTGCGAACAGCTGAAGATGAGGTGGAGAAGATGGCTGCCATCGCTGAGCAAGAAAAGCTCAAAAACATCAACATGGAGAAGCAGCTCCAATTCGTGGGACTGCCCGGCTCCATGCAAGACCTACAGCTGGCCCTGCAGGAGAAGGATTGGTAAGCATCAAGAACAAGGCTAACGCTCACATTCGTGTTTGGGGATGTTTCATTGTTGTTTTCCCCCGTCAGCATCATTGAGCAGCTGAAGATAACCTTAACAAATCAAGAAGCCGAGCTCCGTCAGACCAACAACAGGCACAGAGAGATGGACATGGTTTCTTCTGATCAAGTCAAACAGCTAACAGATGAACTACAGGTGTGACTTTCTTTCGATGGATTGATCTCATTGCTCGGAGTACATTTGACATCACGCCAATCGCTTGTTTTGACTCCTAGGCCCTGAGGGACGAACTACTCAGAGAAAAGGACAAAATAAAACCTGACCACCAGGTTGGTGCTTTTCCTTTTTTTTTTTTTTTTTTTTTTCCCCCGGCTTTTCAGGCCGGTGCCCCCAGGGTGGTTCTTTTTCTTTTTTTTTTTTTTTTTTTTTTGTCCCTCGGCTCTTCAGGCCAGTGGAATCTCTTTGCATCTTTGTGTCATCCTGTTATATAAATCTCATCTATTCTGCTTCCACTCAAAAGCTCAGTGTCAGTTAAGTCAAGAAAAGTTCTCCATATACTGTAAAATGCCGTAGGGAGTCTAATGGAAGTTGCCATTCTTGTCATGGTATTAACTGTCAAACAACTGATACTTTAATGCAAACAGAGCAAAGAATAGTACTCAGAGGCATACTGTATATATTCTCTGCTCTGTGGGAGCGAAAATTCCTTGTGTAATTGGGTACCGTTTCTACTTCTTAACTGACGGTTTGGCTAATTTTTAGCCCAGAGTAGTAGCAGCAATTCATCTTGCCACTCTGTAACATCTTACAAGCTCTCCCTACTTTGCACATAGAACATGGTGAACTCGCTCATTAAGCTGAGTTTACGGCCCCTCATCAGGTATTGGAGGCAGGTCCCGGGTCACAAAGTTAAAACCGGATTATCAGCCCTGTCTGGAGTCGGTTATTTATGGCCATCCATATTGACTGAAAAGCCAAGCTCACCACTCGGCATTCGTCAGTTTGCGTGTAGTATAACTTGTCTGGCATCACCAGAGGCTCTTTCGGTGGCATCCTCTGGATTTCGGTGTAATGGGATATGTGACAACAATGATTGCGAGAAGATGCCTCATTTAAGTGGATATTTTAGAAAATTGGCCAGTCCAGTCTCCAGCGGCCCCCTACCACCTTCAAAGCTGATGCTGCATACAGTAATGCAGCATCCAGAGGGAGCTTTTTGAGAGCTGGTAAGGCGTCAGCCATAACAAAGATTACTACGGTAACCTCAGAGGATTTGACCTGATCGACTGCCGTTGGATGTGAGTGGAACAGAGGCAGGAGCGGGGATTATTCAAGGCTTAGTGCTTACAGTGCTTTGTAATCATTCATTCTCTCCTGTGGTTTGGACAATGATGGGTCGCTCTTCCGTGGCTGACAGAGAGAGGATCTTTAGCAATGGCCATTTTGGACCTCTTTTATGTGGACGAATCTTAAAGGCGAGATGAAGGACTTGTGTCGCATTTGCAATGGTCGTCTGGTTGGCAACCAGTGTCGTTGGATCTTCAGCTCATCCGCAAAGAGGAAGCTGCAAATCATTTTGTCACACGTGCTCGGCTGGGAGGTGACCCGCGACGGCCGCGGAGAGTTCCTCTGTGGGAAATGTGTATTCCAGCTGGAGAAGGTGATACAGTGTGACGTGAACCTCAGCCAGCTGCAGGAACAGCACAACAGCAAAGTGCTGAAAATACAAGCGGAGAAGGCTCATCTGATCGAGTGCATCATCCATGTCTACAACAAACACAACCCCGACCAGGAAAAGAGCGACGAGGAGAGCGTCCGCTCAAAAACTCCCCTCAGGTCATCCGGGGCGGCCAGTTTTGACGACGAGGCCGCGAGTCTGCTCCCCAGTGAGACACAATCGCCCAGGGAGAGCGGCAGTAGTCACTGCATGAGGAGATGTGTGAGTCTGGATCGACTCGTGGGCAAAGGAGTTTTCCCGGGACGTTCAGGTCTCAAGAAATGGAGGATGGGATCAACTGTGGGGCTGGACATCTCGATGAAGAGCTTTGGTTTGCGGGGCTCGCGTGGCAGCTCTCAGAGCATGTACCTGGACCTGGTCCACTCCAAGGGCACGTTCCCTCGGTCCGGATTCAAAGGCCGTTCTGCATCCTTGCAGTCCCTCAATCGAGACTTTGACACTGCAGAAACTACGCCACGTAAGACAAAAGTTAGAGAGCCTAAGACGTTTATCTTCAGAAACGCTGCCGCTGATGATCCAGTGGGAAAGGCTCAAGCTAAAATGCTCCTGCGCAGATCCTCACGGCAGCCCTCGGTCATCTCTGACTTGATCCAGCTCCTGCGCTGCCTCAGCAAACAAAGCGTTTCAGTCCCGGCCGGGAGTCGCCTCCCTGTTTTGAAGAGGTTCACTGTTGGACATCTCTATGCCTGTAACAAGCGAATGCGCAGAGAGACTCGGTGGAAGTCTCTCCATGACCTAACAGAAGAATTTGATGACCAATACATACCTGCAACAGCGGAGGTAGTTCTTTGCTGCAATCGAACTGGGCAAACTGTCACTGGTGGTAAATATTAGTGGAACTCAAGGGAGTTATTTATCTTTCCTCTTTTCTTTTTTTTTTTTGTTTTCCAAATCTGCCAAATAGAGCGAGGTTCATCAACTCGAGTCCGTCAACAAGCAGCTGACTGAAGAGCTCACCCAGGCAAAAAGTACCCATGAGAACCTGACAAAGACACTGGAAGAAATCCAGAGTGAAACCAAGGTACAGTGAGGTCCAGACCCACCTACAAGCGTTGAAAACCTGCAACATTTAGAGAGACCATTTTTTAAAAATGGTAACCTTTAAACAAATGTTAAATTAAGACACTTTCCGCAATATGGCTGCCGATAGGGCTGTATTTTAGGCAAAATAACAGATATTAGCTTTGATGTTATATTTTCCTCTTTGCTCTGTGGCAAAAAGACAACTACTATATTATTGGAGGTCAGTTGGTGATCTTTTTATTCTTCTTACTCTTGATAATGCTGCATCACATCCAGTAGACCTCAATTGTGGCACGTGGTAGATCATTGTGAAGGTGAAGACTCTAAATTCCGATTTACCTGTTTTCTGAAAAATGAAAAGCAAAAATGAACCATGGGGAAACACTGTACACTGAGATGGCATTTCAAGCTGTTTTTTTAGACCATTTTTTAAAAATGGTAACCTTTAAACAAATGTTAAATTAAGACACTTTCCGCAATATGGCTGCCGATAGGGCTGTATTTTAGGCAAAATAACAGATATTAGCTTTGATGTTATATTTTCCTCTTTGCTCTGTGGCAAAAAGACAACTACTATATTATTGGAGGTCAGTTGGTGATCTTTTTATTCTTCTTACTCTTGATAATGCTGCATCACATCCAGTAGACCTCAATTGTGGCACGTGGTAGATCATTGTGAAGGTGAAGACTCTAAATTCCGATTTACCTGTTTTCTGAAAAATGAAAAGCAAAAATGAACCATGGGGAAACACTGTACACTGAGATGGCATTTCAAGCTGTTTTTTTTTTGTTTGTTTGTTTGTTTAGTTTTGTGCTTCTGCATAAAATATATTAAATAATGTTTGTACACAGATGCTGTCAGGAAGGCTGGATAAGAGTGAGAATGAACTCCAAACTGAGAAGAAAAACGGGCTAAAGCGAGACAAAACTATTCAAGGGCTCACACAGGTCATCAAAGAAAAAGAGAAAGAGGTGAAGCCTTGAAAGACAAACTTATTGAACCTTCTTTGGAAGCCCAACATTAATAATGTGTCACCCTGTCCCTCTTGGCTCTGCACAGATTGCAGAGTTGTGCCATGAGATCGAGGACCGGGATGATGCTCTCGCCAAAGCCAGGGAGACAGCGCACAAGGCCCAGATGCAAAAATATCAGGTAAGTTTTGTCTTTTCTGGCCAGGGAGAAACCATGAAAACCTTTGATTTAACAACATAGTATCTTGCATTTCCTCCTTTAGGGAGCGGAAGAACACCAAAGTCTATTAATGACCAAGCAAACAGAGCTGATCCAGCTCCAGGGCGAGCACCACGCCAAGGTGCTCGAAGCCCAAAAGCTGCAGCGGGCCCTGGACAGGAAGGAGCATGAGCTATCTGACTTGCAGCAGGCAAAAGAACAGCTGGAGGTGCAGTTGGAAGACCTGCAGCAGCAGAAGAAGAAGGGAGACAAAGCCTTGAATGTGAGACTTGATTGAAAGGAAATGAAAAAAACGACTTACTCTATCCCACCCACAAGAGGCAAAAATCTGTGACAAAGAAAGGCGCTGCTTTTCAAGCAAGCTATCGTTTCGTGTAACGATAGTCTGCTAGCTGATTGCTAACATATGATGTGAAACACTATAGACAGGCTAACAGAAACTGGCTTCAATGTTACTGTCGTTATAAACCTTCAAACAAGTTTTATAACAAACACAAACAGAGCAGCAACACATCAGTCAAGCACTCATCTGGATGTTGTAAAAAGCCGTCAAAAATATACATTTTGTTGAAAAACCTACATAGGGGTTCACTGTGTTCAAATATTGTCATCATCACCCCCCAGGATCTTACCAACCAACTGAAAAAGCTCAGCGATGAAATCGGGGAGAAGGAAAGCTCTCTGGAGCATCAGTACCAGGAGCTGTTGGACCAAACCAGAAGAAAAGTGCACGCTCATGAAGTCACCATCCAGCGGCTAACATTCACCTTGGCTGATAAAGAGCAGCAGTTACAGGTGACACAACAGTAATAATTCAAATAAAACAAAAAGCATACTTTTTTTTGTAACTGGTTTGGGGTTTGATCTTTTAGGAGTACATAAACGCGGTCAGAGATTTTGAGCAGAACAAGAGTCCCTCAGGAAACGACGGGATGCTCGCGAAGCTGTGCCAAAGGTTGAAAGAGAAGGAAAAGGCACTAGAGGTGAGCCTTACTAAACCTTAAATTTTAAAGTTTTCGCTGGTGCCTAGAGATAAAAGTTTAAAGTTGATGACCTTAAATCTACTCATTTAACGGTAATGCTAACATATACTGGTAAACGCCAAAAATGGGATGGCATTTATGTGGCACTGTTATAACACGCATTTTATGACGAGTTTCACCACTGCCTACTCACAGCAAGCGCTGGATGAGAGATTTGCAGCCATCGAAGAGAAAGACAACAAAATCCATGAGCTGCAACTGTCACTCCGTGTAAAGGAGAGGGACCTCGAGAGGCTCAAGAACATTCTGTTGCACAATGAAGAAACTATTAATGTGAGTAGATGAGAGTTAGATTTAGTGCTCTACGTTCTTCAGATAATTCTCGGACAAACGATTTAACCAAGCTAAAATGCTAATAAAACATCTCACCATATCTTAGCTAGCAAGACTTGAATTAGACAGATGCATTTGTTTCTGTATGTACTATATTTATATCCAGGTATTAGTTATATATGCAGTACAAGTAATTCAAAAGTCAATTTTACTTAATATTTTCACTTAAAACCCGTTGCATTTTCCCTGCTCAGAGTTTTGATAGCCTGATCAAGGAGAAGGATCTGGAACTGCAGCACCTTGCAAACACACTAAAGAACCTGCAGAGGGCCAAGCAAGACATGGAGGACAACCTGAACAGGTCGCTGAGAGAGAAAGACTCCATCATTAGCCAGCTGCAGCTCTCCCTCAACGGCAAGATCAAAGACTTGGAGGTCAGTCCACGTATGTGCTAATGCCTGAGCTTGGTGTCACGCAATGTCGACCTCCCGTCCTTTTGCAGGAATTGTCCGAATCGGTGCTGAGCCAGTCGCAAAGTCACGCACGCGACTTGGCCGAGCAGATGGGCCAGAGGTTAAAGGTGAATGAGGCAATGCTGGCCGAGGCTGTGAAAGCCAGGGAAAGGCTTGTGGCCGAAAACGAGGTCGCCGTGGAAGGACTGCTGGCAACGATTAGTAGCAAGGACCAACTCATCAAGGTTAAATGCAAAAGCATCTACTAGCGTTCGGATGAATAGACGCTACCCTACTTCCAAGCATTCGGATTTACAAACAAACTGCTTTTAGAATTCCTTTGCATTTTGTTGTTTGACAAGTGGAGGCAGACACCGATGATAACAACAGAACAAAAATGGATAAATAGCAACATGACCAGTCCTATCTACGAACAGCTTTATGGAACATGACATTTGTTTGCAAAGTAGGGTAGCATCTATAATTTCCTTTGAAAAATCGATTTTTTTCCTTAAAAGACTTTCTAAAAAAAACATACTGTATATAATCTATTCTCAAAAGGTTGCTTTTCTAAATAAATGGGCTTATTTTCCCCCCACCCCCCTTTTTTTTTTTTACATATTTAGTTTCTCAACAAAATCTGTTTTCCAGCTGAAATGTTTCCTAAAAAAAATTGCTACATTCTTATTTTTTTCAAAAGTCTCTATTTCTGCTCTTCTATTTCTACAATATGGACTTAAAAAAAACAGAATACACAGTACTCATACAAAAGAAGACGAGAAACGTTTTTGAGTGTTCCAAGATTAAGGCTAGGGAAGTACCAATAACGTCAAAATAATGATTTACAAATGATATATCTGTCGCTGTTTTTTTTTTTTTTTTTTTAAACTATAATCTTATCAGGAGTCTGCCGAGCACTACAACCGCATGCTATCTGAGCGTTCCCAAGAGATTCAGGAGCTGAGGAAGCAGCTGTCCGACAGCCATCAGCTCACCGCCGCTGAGAGGCAAAGCTCCACGGCGGCCCAGAAGGAATCTTTGGAAACCGCAGAGCTGCGATTCCTCCTCAATGAAAAAGACAGCGTCATCGAAGTAAGCCCCCCGCGGGATAAAAAGGGACTCTCTGCTGTCAAATGTGCTTAACTTGAAAGCCTAAGAGGAGGGAAATGAAATTAGAACACCCACAGAGCCAGTAATCCTGTCCTTTATTTTGACTTGTTTTAATTACTGGACAAGTTGGAAGTGACAACTCTGTGACATGGTTGAATTTTGCAGAGGCTCCTCCACCGTGGCCAGGAGACGGAGCACGACAAGGAGCCAGATTACGTGCTGGAGCTAAGACAAACCATCCAGATCATGCAAGAGAAGTTAGATGAGCGCCAAGGTGAGGCTAATTCAGGGTATGAGTGTGTGAGCGTGAATAACACCATGATACATTCATGTAACTTTTCATTGATATCTTTTTTTTTTTTTTTTTCCTGGCAACATAGCCGAACTCTCCAGGAGGAACAGCGACGACAGCGTGGAGAACATTCCACTATCCAAGAAGACTGTTGTAGTTCTTAAGAAAGAGCTGGCACAGAAAACGGAGGCTCTCAACAAAGCGCTGAAAAGGGAGAATGAACTGAAGGTCTTGTTTTCCTTCATCATGTGGGAAATCTTTCTTTTCATGTCGACTCACTGGTGCTACTATGTCCATCTAGATGTCTTTAGCCGAGCTGCAGGCATTGCTGTCCGAGCTGGAGGGCCGCAGTGAAGGCCAGGCCGCCAACATCGAGTCCCTGACTGCCACCCTTGAGACCAAGGATGAGATAATTCATGTAAGAAGTCTCTCATGGAAGGAGCATTTTCTTTTGATTGCTCCTTTCCTGGGCTAGGTATTTAGAAAATATTCCAGATTGGAAACAAAAATAAGTTCATTTAAGTTCCCCATGTAGAGGCAACCTTCAATTATTGAAATTCACTCGTGTTTTTTCCCATGGAAAGTTTCCAATTGTGAATGTTTTTGTGATCCGACTCCTTCCCCAACTGTCCCAAATCCTAATGGTTACGTCTTGCTCTCTGAGCAGGTTCTCCAACAACGCCTCGGCCCGCAAGGGGACACGCAAGGTGATTTCGCCCCGGATCGGGTCATTGGCGGCAGCATCGATCGATCGCCTTCGGGGCTCCCAGAAAGAGAGAGAACCATGATTGGTGGAGACAGCCAGCAAGAAGTAATTGAAAAATCTACAACCGCTTTTCTGGTTGATGAAAATGGGAAAGAAAACAGTTTGAAGTTTGATTGGTTACTTGGTTTTCAGGTGCTTCCCAACCTCGTAGCTTTGCAGCAGGAGCACGAGGCTCTCAACAAAGCGCTGAGGGCCGAGCAGCAGCTCTACTCCAGCCTTGTCAGGACTGTGAAGGAGCAGGACAGGTGGGACAGGCCACACCAGGAAAATATCATTTGTATTTGTCGCTTAATGTTGTGGTTCCAACGTGAAAAAAAAAAATTATGCTGGACCAGTTTTACATAAAGAAATATTTTGACGAAGTGGCATAGGATTCAAAATGCAACTCATCACTATGATAAATGTAGTTTTCTTATCTACTGAGAACCCTGCGCTTATCCCATCTTGCGGTAATCTTTTTTTGCTTAAAACAAACACTCCAAAGGCTTGTGTTTTCATGTCAGGTGCTTGGTCTCCATGTGCCAATGTAGTTTGGATTGCTTACAATGGAGAAATTCGCAATTTACAGCAAAATTTTGAAAGAAGAAAGTAGAAAAACAAAGGACTGATATTGTCTGTATTTGAAATAAGTTGATATCTGCAATGTAGTTCACTAACAAATATGGAGGAAACAGAGAAAAAAAAATACCGAATTAATATCCCATGCTGAAACACATTGGTACTATCAGTCTAAAAGGGAGTAGGAAGAGGTTAAAATGGATTTGAATCCTCCCCCTCCACCATGAAGATAAATTATCCTTTGAGGAAGTGCAGTCCAAAATAATAATGAAAGGTGTGTTCGGTTTGCAGCGCCCAACGTCTTCACGCTCTACAGCTGGAGCTGACGGCAGTGCAGCTCCTCAGGCAGCAGCTGGAGGACGGTGTCAAAGCCAACGAGGAGCTCAGAGACGACTTGGAGAGAGAGCTAGACAGAGCCAAAGTCAGAGAAGGTGTAGTGCACATGCATGAGAGTCCTTCATGAGCTCCAAATGGGGGTCATTTGTATCAATTAGGTTGCTAGGAAACCCGACAAATCTGAAGTTCTGCTCGGAAATGAGTTTAGTGACCATGTGGGAAATACAAATACACAGACAGGCCTGCCCATCTTCTTTGTCCTCTGTCACTCTAAACTGTGTTTGCTCATGCTAACAAGATCCCAGCCCCTCTTCATTTCAGCATCTGTCCCTTCTGTCAGCTCTTCATCTCCATCATCACTTGCGCATTTGCATGCTGACTTTCTATTTGTTCTCTCTGTCTCTCTCTTTCCATGTTCTCACACTTTCATTCTCCTGACTTGTTCTCCTGTCCTTGTTTTTAAAAAAACAAAACGTGAATAAAGGCTTCCGTTTGTCCATCTTTGGGTTTCTCACATACTTGTTCAACTTCCCCATTAAGCCATTGGTCTGCTGATTACTTCACATCTCCGTGGGTATTAATCCAGCCGACTCGGCCATCTGCCACTGTAAATTAGTTTAATCTAAAATCCGATGAACGTCTTGTTATATAACGAAGCAAATTGGTTTGTTTATTTAAGTACAACTCTCCACTCTCCTAATCTCAAGTCAAGTCAGGGCATGACTTTGAGGCTGACTGAAAGTTTCTCTGTGCACGCAGGTATTCCCGTAAGCCCCGTTATTTAAGAGTTGGTCCACACATGCGCCTCTGTTAGTGTGCGTGAGTGTGCATGTCAGCGCATCAAACATCATTGCACAGAGTGGAAGGTATAGAAATGGGTCAGCTAACAAGCAGCTCTCTATGCAAGATGGATCTGGCCAATTATAACTGATGACATTTCCGTATTTCCCCATGATGATGCCTCTTAAATCACATGGGGGAAAACATAAATATTGCACCTCCTTCCTAGCCTGATCAGTTATTATTATTATTTATTTTTAGTTTTTTATGAGCTGTCGCCAAATGTTCTTTTTTAAGGGTGTTCCTTTCATCCACTTCTTCCTCTCTCACAGCTGATTTAATAAAGTCTTTCTGTCATATGTACTTCCATTTCTATCAGTTGTCTTCCGACATGCTATCCTTCATTTATTCTCATCCACGTCATCTCTGCTACTAATACAATGTCATATGCATAGAAAACACATCACTGCATTAACACTCTCCTGCACCTCCCTCCCAAAAATCAACAAAAATGTTGGAAAGCACTGGCCTGAGACTGGATCCTTGATGGATTCAGACATACCAATAGAAATATACTTGTGATGTCAAGTTTTAAGTTGGTTCGGTACAGTACAGCATGTCAGAGCTTTAACTACAAAATTATATTGTTTTAAAAAAATCAAGACGAGGGTTTTTGTAACACTGTAATGTTTGTGTTCAGGCGTGAATGTAGTTGATGCCAAAGAACTGGAGAGCATGCAGCATCAGCTGGAAGATGCCCAGCGTTGGAATGCCTCTCTGCAGGCCCGCTTGGGGGCCATCCAGAACCGCGGCGGAGGAGTGGGCGGCACCGGCGACAGCCGTACGATGTCCACATGACACTTATGCCCGTGTGAAATATTTCTGTTAAATTTTGTGGTCCTTTCTCCTAAGGAGACTCGCTGAGTTTCATCGGCGACCAGACCTCTTACATGAGCATTTGTGTGGATGAGGGGCATGACAACATTTCGCCACAGGAGCTCAAACTGAAGGTGAATTCACTTTATGCAAATGCTACAGGCTAACGGAAATTAGCATAGATGTTATGGTAATCTAAAGGTTCAAATAACTCCATCATTAACACACACACACTCACACAACATATAACAATACAGTACTCCAGAAATAAAATGGCTTGTGTTCTGACTCAACCTCTATTACTGGATATGAGTTTGGGACCTTTATGCCAAGCATGTTGTGGCACAATGTGATACTTCACTGAAGAGACGCAAGTCTAAATTTTGACTCACCTGTATACTGTAAAAACTCCTAAAAAGCAATGTTTAAAAATCTGTTATGGAAATAAATTGATAGCTTTTCTCAATTCATCCACAAGAGAAATTGACTGTTACAGTAGTATGTATTGTCGCACTACAGTAGGGGTTAGTATGTCACTTAAGTTTGTCTGCATCTGTTAGGTGCGAGAGCTGCAGGACTGTGTTAGCAGGCTTCAAGCGTTAAATGTAGACCTCCAGAGCAGGCTGGCAGCACATGAGAAGGCTCACCAAGATGTTTTCAACAAGGACGACCAAAACCTGGCCAGCAGTCACCCATGGAAACAGGTTGGAGACCACAAAGGCAGTGCTTTCTCTCAACCGCGCACACTCTGATTTTTAAAAAAATAATCAGCATAAAAGTCTCCTTGTGAAGTGAAACTACTCGGTGCCATCGTAACAGCCACCTTTTAGTTTTAGTAGCTCCCCCCCGTCTAACCTTTGAACCTGACTTAACCTCCGCTGTGTCTGGCTTGTTACTACAGTATGCTGCATTTGAGAAAATTGGGACTTGACAGGTTATGTAACAGAATGACTGCAGTGGTACCTTGAGTTCTGAATACCCCATGTTAAATGTCTTATGAGTTGCAATTTGCCCCATGGTCAGTCGTCGATGCACTTTCGGCTGTTCAGCCGGGCCAAGTTGTCAAACACAAATACAAAATTAAAAACATTCACAAGGGTCATGGAGCAGACGCTAAAACAAACGAAGCGCATGACTTCAGCTCCTGACGCGTCACTCAGGCACACATCCAACACGCGAATGTTTTTTAGTACGTACAGCAATTACGTATTCAAAAAAGTTTATTTCTTTACCTTCTGTTCTGTTCATTGTTTATATACAATGCAGGGTTTTTTGTTTTTAATTAAAAACTCAAAACAAAAAAAATGTGCTTTGTGAACTCCATGCTGGACATATCCTACTTCTCAGTAGTCTCAAATGCAGTATCCCCTATTTCTAATTTCTTTTACAAGTGTGTCTTTTTTCCTGGACTCTTTCCTCCATTGTTCCTAACCAAGCCAACATGTCTTTCTATCTCTATCTGTTTCCCATAAAACGGTCTCTCTTCGCCATATCACATTAGACACGTCATACCATCCCGCTGTCGCTTTGCACTGTGTTTTTGGATTCTGTTGCCCCATTGAGTTTTCTTGTTTTTATTTTATTTTCGAATCGAGTCACATATGTCATACTCGCCTCACATCCCATTACTCTAGCAGCCAGACACATCAACGATTACAGAGGTGCCGCCTGTAGCTCACCAGACGTGCCGCTCTCAAGACAAAGAGAGTCAGACAGACATCACACAGGGGCAGGTATGTTACAAAGTAACCACTAGATTGCCCTTTTAAAAGGGTTGGTCTTAGTTCTTAAATACACCACTAATCAAGCGAGAAATGATCATTTGACCTAACTGGCACAAACTTGGTTGCGCACGCAAATAAAAATATGTTTGCCTTTTAGCTTCTTGGGGATGAGAGTGTGGACAGTGGCCAGGGCCAGAGCAGAGAGAATGCTCATGGTGCCGCTACAGAGATCGATTCTGTAAAATGTCTTCTGACTGATAATGGTGCTGCATCACTCCTGCACCTTAGGTCAGACTTTTTTTCTTCATATCACCCATCGCCACATCCACTAGAAAGTGACCTCTTTAAGCGTTATCAATTCCCTTGTTACAGAGAGGAAGTCCGCAGGCTCACAGCTGAAAACGTGCAACTGCAAGGTCTGCTGAAGGAACACACGTCCAGCGAATGCAAAGAGAAGGAGAGCACAGATGCGTCAGGCAACAGCAGCGATGGGCAGGCTGAATTAAGACAGAGTCAGGAACTTTTGCAGGGTCAAGCTAAGGACAAAGATGAGGACTGCTCAATGGATAGGAGGGCCCTGGTCACCACAGAGGAAGTGGGAACTCTGCAAACTGGCGATCACAGCAAGATTTCAAAGCAGATGGTGTGTTTTATATTAATGCAAATGTGTTTTTGTGTTTATATAACACAGGACAAACAAAACGCGAGTAATATTGTATTTTTGGATGAAATTTAAGGATGGACCTTGATTGTTCCATGACCTTAACATCTGAACTTTGGTTAATTTTTGAATGTCCAACTGTTCTGTGTTTCACTACTTTTAGCACGATTTGCATGCTGTACCCTCCTTCTCCTCCATGTAGCTCCTCTCACAAACAAGATGAATACATGTTTACGGTTTTCTCCGAATACTCCACCATCCTCCCACTTCACCATAGGAGATGTTTACAGCTCTGTCTTGTTCAATGCAACGAGTACGTTACGAAACAAGTTTACCAACTACCTTTAACTATCATGCAAACTGAAACAGAGGCGAGCTCAAGAAATTTGAGTCGTGATTCGAGCGACATTAGCTGAAGTCACGCATTCCAAGCATGCACAGAGAGATCATCAGTCTGTTTGTGGAGCAAGTCTGTTCGGGAGGGGCAGTCCCTGTGTGTGAATGGCCAATCACAGAGCGTGAAGAGGGAATACATTTGGAGTTAGTGAGTTCATCCTGTCTCATTTGTGTATTCGGAATTTGCACTATTATGATGTAACTTCTGTGTTAGTTTCTGCTGTTGTATGGACAATTTCTTCGGTAAAGCATGAAAAAAAATAGTTCCTCTCATCGTCTTATGTATTCAATCATTTGTTTGTTCTTTTCTTAAGACAATGATTTTTTTTTCCCCCACCAAAACTCATAGAGGTTAAAAAAAAGTCATTGTCTGAGGAAAAGAAAAAAAAAAGATTAATTGAATACATAATAAGTTGCCCGATGAGGATTTTCCTTTACGACTCATGTCATACTCTTACTAAGCAAAAATGCATGATCCCAAGTAGGTACTCATCTACAGCGAATGCCCTGGCTATGTAATCTTACTTACACAAAGAGATTGGACATAATTTGTTACGCTCCAGAATGTCTACCTCAAATTGTTAAGGAACACTGATTCTTTGAAGAGCATTGCTTTTTCCTTTTTTAATGCAAATGAAGAAACTGATATGGTTGAGGCAAGGTTACAGCAAACACCATCCTCCCACTTCACCAAAAAAAAAAAAAAAACAACCACGTTAGGTTCATTCTTCAGTGCACGGTATATCACATCTATCACTCTCGTCACCTGCTACCCTAATGAAGAAAAGCACCATAGAAATGAGCGGATGGATTCATGACTGTCAATGTTTCTCTTGTATTTTTTGTAGGCCTGCTTCAGATCTCGATTGCCTGTCCCTGTGAGGCCGAGAGCCGAATCTTGCAGTGGCACACATTCAGAGCCAAGTAAAGCGCACACGACGCAGCAACTTCACACAGATGCTGACCAGCACTCCACTCCAGACTCCACCGCGTCATCCCAACCAAGCGCCGGCCCCTCTTCTTCCTGCGGACGTGCTCACGATAGCGGCTATCCAGACACGCACACGTCAGATGACACCCAGGACCACGGCGCTCTTTTTACCCAGCTGGAGCTCCTTCACCAGGAGTGCCAGGAGAAGGAGGCCTTGATCAACAAGCTCAGCGAGCAGCTCGCTGATTGGGAGGAGCTCCATGCGCAGCTCCAGGACAAGGAACGTCTCAATAGCCAGTATGTGGAGGCCTTACAAGCTGCCGAGTCCACCATCGCCTACCTGACCGCCTGCAGTCTGGACAGCCAGGGTGGGTCCAGACAAGGAGCAGCGCCTTCTGATGTGGGCTCTAGCGGCACATGCCTGGATTTACAGAAAGTGCTTCAGGAAAAGGAGGACATTAACAAGCAACTCACACAACTGTTGAATTTGGCAGAGAAGCACATTTCATTTCCAGATAGCCAGGAAAAGCAGGGGGAAATTGGAGATCTCCGTTTGAAGATAGAGGCAGTAAAAGCCTCAATAAACAAGCAGAACTCCAGAGGGGACTTTGGAGGACCTGAGGGTTCGGCGCACAAGGACTCTTCTCAGGATGAGTTGAGATTGAGTACTTCCACACAGACGGCACCTGAATCTCTCGCAGACAATGAGTTGTGTGATCAGCAGGGAAAAAGTGGAAATTCTGACCAAACTTCATGTCAGGAGATGACCCAAGTTCTTGTGAAATGCCTTAGCTCGGCAGAATCTGTCATAGCTTCCTTGGCAGCTGCCTGTAAAAATACCATCTCGTTCACCAACCCTCACCTACAAGAGCACTTGGGCAACCTCCAGAGAGCTCTACAAAAGAGACAAGAACTGGAGCGCCTCACTCGTGCCACTCAGCCAAGCAGTCAGTCCGAGGAACTTCTCGACTCGGATCTCCTTTGCAATCTGGAAATGCTCTGCAAGGTCCTCAATGATCACTCTCAGAGGATTAGTGAGCTCCAGGCCTCTCTCCAGGAAGAGAGGGCCCATAGGGAAGAGAGCGAGGCCCATGCAGTGCTGTCGGACACCAAGGGCCTAGCGCCAAGCGTTCAGGCCCAGCTGGAGGCTCTGCACAAGGCACTGAGGGAGAAGAAGAAAGCCTGCAAAAACCTGGAGGAGAAACTCGCCACGGCTCAATCTACACCATCCATGAATAACGTAGCACAAAAAGGTGAGCGCATTTATTGATTGCAAAGATAGCTCCTCGAGATGTGCCAGTTTCAAGGGAGTCCTTTCAGCTGTTTCCATTTTGTGTACATGTTTGACTTGTAGAAAGCTGTACAGGGATACCTTGACTTACAAGTGACCACAACTAAGATTTTTTTTCCAGTTAATGAGGCGTCACTTTTGCTTTTTTTTTTTTTTTTTTTTTTTTAAAGCTTCATTTCTGTTACTCTTTGACGGCAGTGAAAACTTAACAGACCTACAGTCCCTGATACACTTATAGCACAGATGTTTATCGAACGAGACAGTCATGCACACAAATACAAATAAAAAGACTCAAGAAACTACAGTACAAAATGCAAAATCTTGTCCACATGCCGAATAACCAGCCATGTTGGCCCAACCAGCATAGACACCCGATGTCAATCACTCGGCCTTGGCCCTAAAAAACACACACAAACATTCTAAATTGGTAACCAAAGAAACCTCATCCACAATGCATCGCGCGACCCAGAGATCTGCAACTGGTCGATTATGGGAGTTTTCACAAAAAAAATTTTTGGGGCAGGATGAAATGCATTAATGGCATTTCAATTCATGTCAAAAGGGAACATTGATTTGATGTGCAAATCTATATCGTAAGTCAAGTTATCACTGTAGTGGGGTGAGTCCCACTTCTGTTATGGAGCTATCCAAGCTGCCTCGTCGCTGACTAACGTGACCGTTGCCTCCAATGCCAGCTCTGGAGCGCGATGACAAAGGTGTGCAGGTGGATTTGCAGGACCTGGGTTACGAAACCACGGGCAAGAGTGAGAACGATAGGGAAGAGAGCAGTAGCACAGGTCAGACACGTTTGAGACGGACGCTGCATGTCTGTCTTCCGAGTGGACACTAAACTCACGTGGCTTGGGCTGGAGTCTCTCACGGGCTGCATGAGAAGTGAACAGGGGGGGCCGTAACACACTCTCAATGTTTGAGTCTCCTAACCTCACAAACGTCTCTCTTCTGCTTCTCAGTGTGGTGGAATTGCCACAGCCTTTCACTGCCATGCAATGTTTTGCATTGATGGAACCTTTGCATGTCTTTTCAGCACCTAATAATCTTCACTTCCTTCTTTATCTTATTTAAAAGCCTTGTTTCCACCGTGCTAGTATGGCAGTTTGGTGCATATTTTTCAGTGTTTCTATTATAATGGGTTAGAAAATATCCAGGTACATTTTTATGATCATTTGTGAAGAGAAAAGTTCTGGGACTGGTTTTACACAGAGAAATATTGACAACTCCAACTGCAAACTAAGAAATTTTCCCAATCATCCTAACCAGACAATCAATCAGAGCATCTGCAAAAAGATCCTGATTAAGTCAGCCGACTATGTTTTTATTCTGAACTGGAATAATTGGTGGAGACACGGCTTTTAATGATTATTCCTGTGATTATCATTATGAAGTGCAGTTCTCAACAGTGTTTAATGCTTCTTTATTTTATTGTTGCTGTCTGTCCGCTGCTCCAGACCTTGAGGTGGGCATCAAAGCAAGCGGAAGCGCTTCTAGTCTCCCTTCGCTGCTGACTCATGAGCAAGTGCACTTTTCCTCCACTGAACATCTGGACTCTGCCGCCAGCACACCATACCCGGGTTCCCCAACTTTGAGCTCGGCCAAGGTATTTCGTCACAAACGTTGCCCGGTTTATGTTTTCAAACGTGATCAAAGCTAATGTGGCCGCTGCTGCGTTTTCAGGTCAGTCTGAAAAGCCTTCAGACCTTCGAGGAATACGGCCTCTCAGAGGACCCGCTACTACTCCAGGCGCAGGTGCGAGAATTGAAGGTCCACTTGGAAAGCCAAACCAAACTCATCCTCCAGATGCAGTCTGTGCGGAGAAACCCAGTGGCTGGCCACTGCTCTGACCAGTTGACGAATCAGGACGGAGCACAAATCCATCATGCAAGGCCCAGTAGGGAGCAGATGCGAGAGAAAGACTGTGACAGAGAGGCCCCGGCCAAAATTGGTGAAACCAGTGATGCGGAACGAAAGAAGAGTGCGAAAGAGCAGCTACAACATGCCCGCAGCCGCTCTGCCTCCCCTGCCAGGTTGCAATACAATGCACTCATTCATCAGAAATGCTGAACTAATCCAAGATTACAATAGACAGCTATTATTGTGACTTAGTTGCGGGCCTTCTTTGCCCATTTACACAGCCTGATGTCAGTCTGTCGCTTCCACAGCCTGGACTCCCTGGTGCAGTCGCAGGCCAGGGAGCTGTCGCAGCTCAGGCAGCAGCTCAAGGAGAGCCGGCGGCTCGCGGGCCTGCAGCGTCGGCAGATGGTGGAGCTGAGAAGGGCTTTCCAGGAGATGCTCCACGCTACCCCAGGGGACTGCTACATGAGCGAGGTGCTCAAGGAGCAGCTGGACAAGAGCCTGAGTATTCTGGATCGGCTGGAGGGACGCCTGGACAAAGGTACCGGCCGCGCTTGTTTATGAAAACTCGGCACTGACACATGCAAACTGTAGTGTAGAAGGCACTCAGACTGAACAAACCGTGTGTTAAATGGCCAACCAGAGCTGACACATTGTTCCTGATGATACTCACTTGGCCACGCCTCTTAGAGGCACACATCAACACACAAATACTACAGTGTGTGACTTTTGGCTCAATTATACTTTGTAAAACCAGGTTATTTCTTTACATTCTCTTTTAATATGCTTTATATTTTCCATTCAGTGCTATTTTTTTAATTTATTTGAAATTGACCCAACACTGGTGTTTAATCGCATTTCAGTTGATTTAATTGGGAACATTGATAGGATATACAGAAAGAAATAGATTGTGCGGTGCTCCTTGAGAGAGCAAGAAGAAATCCACTTAAGAGTCCTCAAGCGTTACTGATTTTTTCTGACAAGTCCTTGACATTTTTTTTTGGCCGTGTCTGCTAGGAGAGACTCATCAGGATAATGAAGATGTGGCGGCTCTGGAGCTTTCTCGCAGGTACATCTCAACCTTCCACGCCCCTGCTTGATATTTAGCACCCCTGTCAGTGCTGAAGGAGCTGCACTGTTTGTTTGAGACTGACAACAGTTCACTCCTTTTTCTTTTTGTGAGCTACATTTAACACAGAGGAGGAATGTTCATTCATCATTACTTGTCAACACGAAGAAGCATCTATTAGCAGTGATATTTGGATTTATGGTCAAGAGAACAATTTTACTAAGTGATGCGAAAAATGAATCCAGTGTTAAAATTGGTTGTCTGTGGCGATGCATTTTCTATTGATACCAAAGACCGCTCTGTCGGCCATTTTTGCGTCTAACTCTAATTGACAACAACCACCACATGCAACGGATGGAAGATATTTGGGGTTAGCGGCTGTTTCTATTGTCTGATGTTTGCCTCATGACCTCTTTAAAAGCAAAGCTCCCCTGTAGCCTTTCGCCTAATTGCCTTTGTGACCCCGTCTGGGTTGCTACGCTTGAATGGCGTCTGCCTGGCTGCTGACCTATTTTCATCCGTCTGTCAACAAAAACAATTGATGATACAACCGGGTCAGCAGTGTCATACGCATCAGAACATTAGAGGACATAAAGGAAAACACACAATGGGGCGTTTTTAAGGAGATGTTGTGCTCATTATTATTTTTTTTTTGAAACATTAGTCTTCTGCACTTTGTGTATTTTCCACAGCAGAATCTCAAATACTTACTATCCATTTGTTAAACTGGTTGAAATCATGCAATTTTTGGTGGGAGCTTGTGCAAATGTAGAGTACAGACTTTGTTACCATGATAACCAGGAGCTAGAGCATGTGACAAAACGAGCCAACATTTGGCAAATGTAGTGACTCCTCCAGCAAATTTCTTTTGAAGTCATTCACACATGCTTGAACACATTTAAACTGATTAAAACACACTTTTAAAAGTATTCCATAGTGCCTGAGCTTCCGCTCTTGCTCTCAAGAAACGGTAGACTTGTTCAGCATCAGATCTCTAAAATAGAGGCAGAATCTTCAAACTGTGTATAGGCCTCTTCCATTTGAAGCTTATTGTAAAAATGACATTAACATTTTATTTGTAACCACAATATGTTCAACCAAACCCTATCATTCGTCAAACCAAAATAGCAAACTTGCTAACAGATTTGTGATATAGCATCAGTGTGAACAACAAGCCATGATTTGGTGGGGTTTCACAATATTCCTCCCTTGAAAACACCACACCATCATTCAGGATATTGAAAACTACCTAGTACAGTACCTTTTTCTTGTGTCGCTCACACCTAAAGGGCGGGATTTATTTGTAGTGAATGCGGGCTGACGGACAGCCCCGCTGGCCCAATCCAGCAGGAGCTAGAAAACCTGCGTGTGGAGCTGGAGGCCGAGAGAGAGCGGCTGAGGAATCATGTCGGTTGTCTGGTCCGGCAAAATATCGCAGTGGCCGAGCGCGCCGGCGAGCGCTTGGACGTGTGAGTGGATATGCCGAAGGCATGCTGTTTGCTGTGGAATCTTTCTATTTATTTATTTATTTATTGAATTGTGTGCCTAAAACTGAGTGGTTCTGATATGGTGGTTAAAAACCCAAAACAGCATGCTAGATTGATATCTGGGAATATTCACCGTTAAAACTTTGGTTTCCAATTGGGGAAAAAAAGTCCTATATTGTCCATTTTAATTTCCCTCTGAAATTTACCATAAACCTCCTAGAAATGTTCTACTCTTTTACATGTTGAGAGTGATGGATCCTTGTGTTAACGCGCCTGGTCGTCTTCTTCCTTTTCCTCCTCCTCCTCCTCTCAGGTTGGCCAGAGAACTGCAGGAGAAGAACCGCCTCATCCAGAGCCTGCAGAGTCAGGTCCGAGGCCACAGTCCCAACAGCTCCCACAGCTCCCACTCTGATAAGGCCTCCTGTCACGGCAGCCTCCCCACACAAGGTAGTAGTCCAAATTAGCCAGCTTGTGACTGGAAATGCTATCACGTCCATTCGTTTACATGAAGAACGTTAAAATCCCAGTGAAGTGACATGTATACTGTATATTTTTTCCTAAGTACAGTCAATTGTTTGGAACTCAAATGGTCTCAAACACATAAAGTGGTCAAGAAATTCAAGTTACCAATATTAACTCTTGATTATGCGCAGTTGCAAACTGAAAGTCATTTCAAGTCATAAAGCGTCATCCACATCATAGATGAAGATGTGCAAAAGTGTTATCTGCCTTTTTTGAAGAATCTCTATTTGATCAGACTGTCCAATTACTTGGTGGTATAATTAGTAGAATAATCAGGTTGAATGGAAACATTCACAACAGCCATCAGTCCATCCTCCACCTTAGCCCGTAAAGGTCGGCAAATGCTGCACGAGATGGTTCTATGGTAGAAGTGCACTCGCAGTCCATCCTCCCTCAGTTGTCTGGTATAATGTGGTTTGATGCCACACATGCCTGCCGCAGCAATTCTTTTCCACTCATAGCCATTGTGGTGCACTGAGGCATTCCATGCAGACCGAGGACTCTGCTCTGCCGGTGTCCGCTTCCAGCGCATACCCCCTACCCCACCCCCACCACTCCATCCACTTTCAAGTTACATTATTAAGTGGCCCCGATTGGTTTCAGGTAGGGAAAAAAAAGAAACAGTTATCACTGTGTTCACGTGCAGGGGACGGAGCCGAAGTGGTGGCGGGAGGCCGACTTTTGGACTTGCACAGGGAGAACGCGCTGCTTCACGAGCGTCTGAGGGACAGCAAGCAGCTCAACAGCAGCCTGCGAAGCGAGCTGGATCTGCGCCTGTCCGTCATGGCCCATCATCAGGCGCGCGACTCTCCGACACAAGCACCCAAGCCCGACGAGAACGTTGTCTTGGCGGCAAATGCTTCCGCAGAAGCACGCACCGTCACTTCAGGTAGTCGGGGCTGATTGATTACTCTGTGAGATGAACCTGCTCGTGTTGTCTACTACTTGCTGTTTTGTGAGAGGTCATCACTTGTGTTGAGGGAATGAATCCAATTTGATTTCATTGGTACATAATTATTTATTTACAATAACAAAAATGCATCTTTGTTCAACTATCCAAGCCAGCATTGTATAGGGACAGTTAAACCAAACCACACATCTTTGTCACACCAATGCCTGCTAGCTTAATGATCACTCACAATGCTATATATGGGCGAACAAAACTAGCAGTGATGTTGCAGTCCTTTCAGCGGTTGCTATTCAATTAACTAAGCGATGCAGCAACCTCATGCAGACAGACGATACTCACTGGTCTATATTCTTTGTCTTCTGCAAAAAAAAAAAAAAAAACATCTGTAATTTACTGTCAATGTGCAGTTGTGACAGTTTCTGTTTATATTATCCCGCCACTGGTGGCCAAGGTGCATGCACCAGAAGGAGCCACACAATGAATTCAAGTCTGGAATCAAGATGCACAAACTGCTTGCTTCTTTACATTCTATTTCAATGTTATTCCTGATCATGTTTTTCACATGATTTCATCTTCTCGTGTCTACTCAGACGTGCTGGCCGAGCACCTCGAGGAGATCCGAGCTTTGAGGCGGCGACTGGAGGAGAGCATCTCCACCAACGATCGCCTGAGGGAGCAGCTGGAGAGGAGGCTTGCCGAGGTGGAGAAAGAAACAGGTGACCACTCGCTCTCTGCGGCTTTTATGACGCAATTGATGAGCTGGCACACTCAATTGGCTGTGGTTTTGTGTGCGGGCGTTGTCACGGCAGCTACCAACATCTTCATCCACGGTAACGAGGATCAAGCTCAGCTGGTCAACGAGGTTCGCTCCCTGTGGGGTCAGAACCAAGCCCTGAAGGAGCAGCTTAACCTGGAGTCCAAAGGTACACGAGAAGCGCACTATTTTGCGAAACAAAAGCGCATCACACCTACAACTTACTGTTGCTCTCCTCCAGACAAACAGCGGGAGAGCGAGAGGCTGCGGGAGAGCCTGGCGAGGCGCACGGCCAAGCTGGAGCAGAGCAGGAAGGACGGCGACGTCCTGAGGCAGGAGAATGCCAGGCTGCAGGAGAAGCTGGAGCTCGGCGGCCGAGAGAACATGAGGCTGCTCCAGTCGCTGCGCACCAGCGAGGAGCAGTTGCGCAGGTGTGTGGAAATAATTGCTTTCTCGTGTGGTGCCCCATTAGAAATCCGGAAATGTCATTGCAATGGCTATGGCGGTTTTCAGTTGTGTCTTTGATGTGGACCAATATCAGCCGTCTATCTAACCAACAGCTAGCAAGGGCGTGTTAGGGAATTCAAAAGCAGTGCCATTCTTTTGCCATGTTTTGACCCCCCTTCACCTGAGCCCTGAGCAATTATCGCTTGACCTGTCGCCACATCCCTGCTCCTCCTCAAGCCAAAAACATGCCACTAGTCAGTGTTGCGCTCTCAACTAGATTGTGGAGTTGTAAAGTCAACTAGTCGACGAGTCTGTACGAACCATAGCGCACACCATATCCATGCAATGTGAAACCACACAATGTTTCGGTGTCACCATGACGACACACCATGAGTACAATTTGCTTCAGCGGTCATCCGTTTTGCCGACCCACACTGAAATCCGAAACCTGTAGTCTCGTTTAGCATTTCACTCCTCTCCCTTTCCCTTGCTCCATTGTTCTCTCGTCATTGTACCCCAAATCCAACACACACGTCTCTTTGTGTCTTTGGTTTTTAACAAGAAAAATGATATTCACCCCATGATATTTCGTGGCCGATAATTTTATTTATCCACTTTCCGACGTCCACATCTATGATAACCCTTTCTTGTTGCCACTACGGGGTAGGGTCGTAACACCCTTTATCTGCTAAATGTGTGCGTGTTTTTTTTTTTTTTTTTTTTTTTGCGTTCAGTCTGCAGTGTGAGGTGAAGCTCCAACGGCAGCACGTGACCGACTCGCAGCGTCTCCTGCAGTCGCTGCGCGTGGAGCTGCAAGTTCGTGAGAAGATGGAGACGGCGGCGCACAGTCCAGGTTGGTTTCTTCTCTGCACTCCATCGCAACACATAATTACTCAAGGAAACAAACCTTAGAATTACTTTCGTCTGTGTAAATGAGATGGGCACTTTACCCTATTTTGCCATCCGTGACCTGGGTACCCTTCTGTCATCGTCCCTCAGTCCTTATTCATATAATAATTGTCCTCCATCCTCGTCCGTGCATGACACCGTGGGAGAGAGAGACCGGTCACCAGAGTTCAGCCTGAAGAGGGGTGCATGAAATGCATGGGAGATGTTCTTAATTTTCCTTAAAAAAATCAAATACGTTTACAGTTTACAGTATGTTTATAGTTGTTTTTTATAGATAAGGTGGATTTAGGTGACAGTAGTTTGGATGAATAAAAAGTACTAAATATCATTTATGTTCACATTGTTCTATTTATCAGTGTCAGAATTCATACATAGTGTGAATGTATTAAATTCACATTTTAATTTTATTTAATATAAATATTTTTCATTTTAAAAATGAATGACAGTAAATGTAGAGGCCTGGAAAAGGTGTTTAAAAAGACTTACATTTTCAGAACTGACACCTTTTATTAAAAATAATAATAATAATAATAATACATTTTATTTATAAGCGCCTTTCAAAATATTGTCCTGTAAAAATACACTTCATTTTAACATTTGTTGGTTCGAAATGTAAATTATTAAAAGCATAAAATGAATATTTGCCGCAGATTTATTAGCTGAGTAATATTGTTTTTTTTGTTTTTCTTCTTAAAAATACTTTATTTTCCAAGTTCTTTTCAATAAAGACCTTCATTATCAAATAACATAAATATAGCACCATTTAACATCTACATTTTTGTTTGAATTGTTCCCTCTTTCCCCCCTCCCCAATCTTGAAATGTAACACGGCTTCTTTTCCAAAGGCGTCAGCGCGACACCGGATCCCGCCTCTGCTCTTCTGAGCACTGGCTCAGTGGACCTATCCGAGCTGCTGTCGGAGATCCGCCACCTGCGTATGCAGCTGGAGAAGAGCATCCACACCAACACGACCCTGCGACAGAGGCTGGAGGAGCAGCTGTGGCGAGGAGCCGCCCGCTCCGAAACCATCAACATCAACTACCGGGTCTCCTCTGCAGGTAAACGCACTCGCATGACATGTCAGCAGGGGTTTTCTTGGCTCAAATTCAGGCAGGGACGATGCATTCATCAGCAGCAGGAGAATCATTCAACACTTTTACACTTATTTTTATGTCTGTCAACATTTTCTTTTTTGAAAGTCCACTAGCTTGATGACCATGTATAGGAAGGCATTCTTTAAAAAGGACGACCATGTTAGTGAGGCTTTTTTTTTTTTAAATAAGATGAGCATTTATAGCAAGGTGCACTACACTATAGTTGGGGTCTGACTGATGAACCGTGCTTTAAAAGAAAAAAAAATAAAATCATTTGACCGATTGTCCCGCCTCCTCCCTGTAGATGAAGGGGGCGCGTCGCCTGGTCGTGACGGTGCCAACGTTGTTCTTCACGGCGACACCTCAAACGCTCGAGTGCGCTGCGAGGTGGATGGCGACGGCGGCGGGAGCAGCAGCTCCGGCGAGAGCGTTACAGGCGCTCCCTCCCGCCTGGTGCCAGGCCACCGCTTGTGGGCCAACCGCAATGGGCGCCACATCCTGGCACTGGTAGAGGACTACAGCGCCCTCCGCAGGCTCATCTCAGAAGGACGCAAGTTGGCACACAGCAAGGATGCGCAGCTGCGCTGCTGTCTCAACAAGGTAGCACATTTCCACTTCATAATATAGTCATTTCTTTTCTCACAAAAGCTTGTTATTGACATTTGAAATAAAATGCTTTATTTTGAAAAAAAAAAACATTCTGATCTGATTTTCTTGTTTAAAATAGACCCGTGTTGTGTGTTTTTAAATGCAGTGCCCTTCATGTAAGATAGCAACTTTATTTTAGTAAAAAAATAGTGTGGGGTAGATAAACAAATATATATATATATTTTATCATGCAACATTATTCTAACCCGAACCATTTTAAAAAGTCACTGAGATTGACACTCTGACATTTCATTTTGTAAAAATCCAAATGCATTCGTTTGTATGGAGGTGCTGGACGAGGAGGGCGTGAAGCAGCTGTTGGGCGACATGAGCACCATGCAGCAGGTCCTGGATGAGGCCGCCCGCCTGCTCAAATTGGTGTGGAGGGTCTCTCTGCCGACAGGGGGCGCTGCGGCAACGGCCAACGACCAGCAGGTATGCCAGCGCGTGATGCCGTCAGACCATACCATGCCATGCCAACTTTGCTTATGTCATTAAACGTCTGCCGTGTGATCCCGCGCCGCAGGAGGATCTAAAGAAGGAGATCTCGCGTCTCAAGAGCCGATTGTCCCAACAGGACAGAATGCTGACCGGAGCTGTCAAACGCCTGCACACCACCAACCAGCTCAAGGAGGGCATGGAGAGGGTCATCATTGACCAGCGTACGCTCACACCTGTTCTTACTCACGCCACTCGCATAAACAAAAAAGAAACTAAGAGAAAAAAAGTTGGGGGGAAAACAAATGTGTGAACGTGTTTTGTGCGACAAAAGTACATTTATGAGAAAAAGTCATGGTCGATTTTTTGGGGGGGCTAAAAACGCCTGACCATACATGGTCGTTTTTTTTCAGATAAAAACGCCTGACTAGATGGTCGGGTTTTTTTCAGTAAAAAACAGTTACTATACATGGTCGTTTTTTTTTGGCAAAAAACGCCTTACTATATACATGGTCGGTTTTTTTTTCGGCTAAAAACGCCTTACGATACATGGTTGTTTTTCTGAGCTAAAAATGCCTTACTATACATGGTCATTTTTTGGAGGACCATAAATCGCCTTAGGCGTGAAAGGCGTTTTTAGCCCAAAAAACGACCATGTATAGGAAGGCGTTTTTAGTCGAAAAAACGACCATGTATAGTAAGAAGTTTTTAGCGCAAAAAACGACCATGTATAGTAACGCGTTTTTAGCCCAAAAAAAACAACCATGTATAGTAAGGCCTTTTTAGCCCCCAAAAAACAACCATGTATTGTAAGGCATTTTTAGCTAAAAAAAAAAAAACGACCATGAATAGTGAGGTATTGTTAACCGAAAAAAACAACCATGTAAAGGAAGGCGTTTTTAGCCGAAAAAATCGACCATGTATAATTAGGCGTTTTTAGCCGAAAAAAATGACCATGTGTAGAAACGCGTTTTTAGCTCTAAAAAATGACCATGTGTAGTAAGGCAGTTAGCCTAAAGAAAAACGACATAGTATAGTAAGGCGTTTTTAGCCGAAAAAATCGACCATGTATAATTAGGCGTTTTTAGCCGAAAAAATCGACCATGTATAATTAGGCGTTTTTAGCCGAAAAAATCGACCATGTATAATTAGGCGTTTTTAGCCGAAAAAATCGACCATGTATAATTAGGCGTTTTTAGCCGAAAAAATCGACCATGTATAATTAGGCGTTTTTAGCCGAAAAAATCGACCATGTATAATTAGGCGTTTTTAGCCGAAAAAATCGACCATGTATAATTAGGCGTTTTTAGCCGAAAAAATCGACCATGTATAATTAGGCGTTTTTAGCCGAAAAAATCGACCATGTATAATTAGGCGTTTTTAGCCGAAAAAATCGACCATGTATAATTAGGCGTTTTTAGCCGAAAAAATCGACCATGTATAATTAGGCGTTTTTAGCCGAAAAAATCGACCATGTATAATTAGGCGTTTTTAGCCGAAAAAATCGACCATGTATAATTAGGCGTTTTTAGCCGAAAAAATCGACCATGTATAATTAGGCGTTTTTAGCCGAAAAAATCGACCATGTATAATTAGGCGTTTTTAGCCGAAAAAATCGACCATGTATAATTAGGCGTTTTTAGCCGAAAAAATCGACCATGTATAATTAGGCGTTTTTAGCCGAAAAAATCGACCATGTATAATTAGGCGTTTTTAGCCGAAAAAATCGACCATGTATAATTAGGCGTTTTTAGCCGAAAAAATCGACCATGTATAATTAGGCGTTTTTAGCCGAAAAAATCGACCATGTATAATTAGGCGTTTTTAGCCGAAAAAAACGACCATGGAAAGTAGGGCGTTTTTGGATGAAATTTTTAGCCCCAAAAAAAAGACGACCACGTGTAGTAAGGCGTTTTTACCAAAAAAAAAAAAAAACGACCATGTATAGAAAGCGTTTTTTTTTTTTTCCAGCTAAAAAACCCTTACGAT